TGTCCAGCTCTGCATCAGCCCAAGTTCACAGCCTTTGGGCACCTCAGGCCACAGGTCACCCATCCTTCTTCCCTCAGGGCAAACATTAGCCCAGCCAGCGCCGTATTTACATTAGATAAGTAGGTGTTTGGGAACCAGGAAACAGACCCAGCCAGGCATGGCCGAGGGCTGTTTGTCCCTCACCTATAGAAGGGCTGAGCCAACCAGAGAAGGGACATCAGAGAATCTGAGGACCTTGGAGTTCTTGATGCTACAGAGGAGAGTTTCCCAAACTGTGCTCTAGGGAGCACTTGTCCAGCAAGGTGCACTCTCAGAAAAGTAGCGGCAGGTCAAACAAGTGGGAAAATGTAGCATGTGCTCCCCACTCTGACGGACCTCGCATGTTAACCCGTGTAGGCTCCGGTGAAGCTGACACAAATGAAATGACAACAACTCCTGTTACGCTCAGCCTTCCTCCAATGGGCTTTAACCAAACAACTCTTCTCAGCCAACAGTTATCCACAGTCCATGGGACTGTATTTCAGGAAATGAACTTTGGGAAATACTGACCATAGAGTGTTGATGCTGAAAGGAACTTTAAAATCCATCTAATCTTGATGTTCCCCAAAATATTCATACTAGTGATTCGTATTTATTGATCCCAGGATCCCAGGCATTTTAAGTCTACTAACTCATCAAAGCCCCGCAGCAGTTCTACGAGGTGAGCCCACCACTATTCCCATTTCACAGGTGTGGACACTGAGGCACGTGGCCAAAGTTGAAAGCTGTTTGGCCCCAAAGGCTGTGCTCTCATCTACGCCACTAAACTGCAGAGATCCCCCGCAGAAAACAGAAATACCTATTTTCAGCATTTCAAAAGGGTAACAATAACTTAATTCAGACTCATAAAATCAGTTATCCCCTGCTAAGCTGAAGTTTTGATTGGCAGATGTGTCCTTAATTCATTTTGATGGGAAAATAATTAATTATTGCTATCACATTTATTCAGTGCCTGTTCTGCTCTGATCAACAACACATTGTACTGTGTTGTTGATAAATAAAATCTTTCGAAATCTGCACTCTAAGTGAGTGAACAGAAAAAAATAATAAAAGGGACCATAGCAAGGAAAAAAGGTGGAAACCTTTTATCTTGCCCTATCCTCCCATGTCACAGATGAGGAAAATTGAGGCCCAGAGAAGGAAAAGGACTTGCCCAAGGCACAAAGCTAGCAGTGGTCAGGCTCAAGTCAGAGCCCCAGGTCTCCTGCCTCCTGGCCCCAGGCTCTTTCCTCCACCCAAGGCTGTGGCCAGCATTCTGGCTCTGTGGCCAGCTGGACCAGTGGTACAAGGCCAGGCACTCAGGCTGGCAGGCATATGAGGTCAGTGGGGAGCAGGCAGCTGCGCCCAGTTCAACCACGGCCATTACCAAGGCTCAGACTGGTCATTAGTGCTTTGACCAGAAGGAACTAGGCCACAGGGAGAGAAAGTCCACTAAGAGGTACTCTGGACCCCCAGCCCTCTGCATCTCCCTGGAAGGCAGCGCTTCAGCCAATCTCCGAGCTCCCTGGTGATGCCGGGAGGAAAACAGAAGAACTGTAATAATATTCATCATTAATATTGATGTCCAGCCCCATGATTAATTTTTTTGGTCCAGCCACCCGGCTTCCTCAGGTGAATCCCATGCCTCCAGCTGGGTTCCAGGCCCACCGCTTAGCTGAGTTGCTCCCACGCAGGACATGCTGGGCCTAGTTGAATGAACAGGTCAACTCTGGTCACGCTGAGCCAGAGGGCAGAGGACCGAGCATTGCATTTAGAACGGAGTATCCTGGGTGATAGTCCTGGCTCTGCCATTCACTGGCTGCATGACCTTGAGAAGGTCACGTTTCCTCTCTGGCCTTCATTTCCCCCGTCTGTACAATATAAGGACTGAGCTCTATGATCGCTAAGGGCCTCTCTGGCCCTTAGAACCTTAAGTCAATGGTGGATTCAGGCCGGGTGGCTGGAAGACAAGGGGCAGGGACAGCCCTGGTTAGCGCTCTGAGAGACAGCGGCTAGGGTCTTATGGTTGGTGCCTGGGTTCTGGCTGGTCAGTCCACTGGATACAATGAAGGAGGGTCCTCAGACAATGAGCCCCAGATAGCAGCCTCTGTGTGTATCAGTGACACACAAGGACAGATGGAGCCCATCACCAGGGGACGCAGGGCTGGACAGGAGGGAGAAGATGGGGGCTACTGTTTGCCCCTCTCCCCCTTGTAAACCCCAGCCTGATGTGGGCAAGGACCAGGCAGGCAGTGGGCCTGCTGGCAGGCAGACAAGACTTGCCAAACTCCCAATCATTTCCCAGACCTCCCAGGGTCCCCTGGGAGTGGCTCCACCCCAGCGGGCACCCCTCCAAGTGGAGCCCACGTCAGCAGGTCCTCACAGCTCCCTGGGCCTTTCACCCAGGGACAGTGGACCAGGCAAAGGGGCAGAGGCATGCTGACCCTGGGCCCGATGCTTGGAGAAGCGTGTGATTCCCTGGGCATCACGCTTCCGGGGCTGTTTCTGCCATGTCCGGCTCGGGCACTGCCCAAGAATGAGGCACCGAGTGGAGCACTCCCCGCTCGGGGCCCCAGCTTCCCATCCTAGTCACCCTTCCTGGGTGATGCCTTGGCTCCGAGGCACTGGAATGAGTGATGAGTCAGAAAGTCCCAGTGGCCTTAGCCAACTCACAAGCCCTCTCCAGCCTTAATTTCTCCATCAATGGAGACAGTCATGATAATGACCTTAGGAAGTTTTTGAGAATTAAAGTTTAAAATGTACCTGAAAGATAAGACCTTCAGCCTCAGCCTGTGGTGGGAAGTGAGGGGGTGCGGGGCGGCCTGAGGGCCGCTGACCCCAAAGGCAAGGCTGGGGCCACCCTGGACAGGACCATGGCTATAGTGAGGCCTGAGGCTCTAGCCTGGTAAGAGCCTTTGGTTGAGCCTGGATGTGCCACCTGCTTTGAAAATCACTCCGTTCAACAGGAGGCAGGCAGGGAAAGGCGCTGTCATCTGGGCTGGGAGACAGGGAGAGCCTGAGGGTCTCAGGATGGGGCAGGGAGAGGCCGGGAGGAGGGCGGTGTGAGAAATGCATGGGGGAGGTGGCTGTCACGTCTGCTGGGACGTGGGCTGTATTCAGATGGGGGAGAGTCCCGCCTGAAGCTGGGGGCTTTGTGGGCCACCCACCATGGGCAATGAGGCTGCCAGGCGGGCGGGCGCTGGGCCTTCCTGAAGGCTGGTGGGCCAGGAGAAAACAGGGCCTATGAACAAACACAGGCTGAGGTGTTGGTGCTGACCAGAGCGGTCCTTCTCCCTGATGGGGGGATATGGCTGCCGGACCCCACAGAGACTGCCCCCACCTCCAGGACTCCCGCTGTGAGCCCCATCGCTGCTGCTTCTCTGGCAAACTCCACAGGTTCCAAGTGCTTTCACAGCCAGTCTCTCCTTTTCCCCTGAAGGCAGCTCTGAAGGCGGCCAGGGCAGGGATTAGCAGCTGTAGCTCAAGCCCCAGAGTGCAGGAAGGTAAGAGAGGTCCAGAGTGGGGGTGGATTTGCCCACAGCCAGCAGGTGGTCATGCTGGGGCTGGGCCCACACTACCCAACCCGGATCCAGCCCATCCACAGTGCCATGCCCTCCCCCACACCCTGTGTGGTGCTGGCCTGCTGGACAGGGAAGGACAGGGTGAGAAGCCGCTCTGGCGCGGGGCCTGCCCAGCTGTCGAGGTGAGTTGTGATCTGGCTGCCATGGCCGAGCTGGCGGGCACAATCTGTTCTCACTCTGCCGGGACCTGGACAGGCCAGGCGTGGTGGCGCACCAGCTCAGCTGTCCAGGCCCCTGGCAACGGGTGACACAGCCCCCAGCTAGATGCCGGGGTCAGGGAGGCAGGGGACCCCATTCTAAGGGTACCCCACAGCCTCACGTGCCCCAAGCAGCTGTCCCCAGACCTCCCTGAGCTTGAAGACTCAAATGGCCTTGGGCTGACAGATGCCTACTTTATTGGACCTGAGCTGACCCCTAGCCCAGGTGGAAGGTGAGGGCAACCTGGCACTTCATTCATTACTCACCATAGTGAGCTCTTCTTGAGCACTTGATACATACTAGGCTCTGGGCTAAGGGCATTAAACACATTTTCTCACTTATTTCACCCCCTAAAGCCCTGCGTATTAGCCCCATTTTACAGATAGGGAAACTAAGGCTCAGAGAGGTTTAAAATCACACACACAGTCCGTGGAAGAATAAAGATTTGAATTCAGATCATACACCAAAGCACGCAGTATCCTGCCCTGCCTCGTCAAAGGTGCTGTGGGCATATCCCCTGGGCATGAACTAGAGAGGAACATGACAAGGTCCTGCAGTGCCTACCCTACACCCTAAGCTAGCGTTTACCTGTATCTGTGTAGTTGGTGACCCTGGGGGGCGGGTCAGGGGGTGCTGGTAACATTGGCCCTGGCGTTCTGAGCTGAACCTTCTGTGCCACTCAAAGCAGAGGTCACCTTCAGCTGGGGAGAATCCAGAACAACTGCATGGAAGAAGCAACATTTGGTTAAGTGTCGATAAGGCTTTGAAAGGAGGAAAAATTGGAAAGCCTGCCAGCATTGTTTTTATTATAATCATTTCATTAATGAAGTAATGTATATCTTAGCCCAGCGAAGGAAGCAGAGCCAGGACCCGTAGATTTCATTTTACAAATGAGGGAACGTGTTCAGAAAGTGGGGGTCATTTGCCCACGGTCACCCAGCCACTAGTAACAGGGCCAGAGCCGGTGCCTTGGTATTCTGAGTTCCCACCCAGGATCCTGTCCCCTCCAGGGCTCCAGGCAGAACTCCATTTGATGGTTGGCTCAGAGGGAAGCTTCCTTCACTGCTGGCCTCTCCAAGGTGGGGCAGGTGTAGGTAGGGCAGAGAGGGGGGCAGGAGGCAGGGGGCAGGTGTCTGGCATCCGCAGCCCCGTAGAGCTTGCTTTCTCTCCTCTTCCACTGTTTCTCCCCCCCCCCCCCCCTAGGCTATGGCCACGCAGCGCCCAGCACGGATGGCGGCAAGGTGTTCTGCATGTTCTACGCGCTGCTGGGCATCCCGCTCACGCTGGTCATGTTCCAGAGCCTGGGCGAGCGCATCAACACCTTCGTGAAGTTCCTGCTGCACCGCGCCAAGCGGGGCCTGGGCATGCGGCGCGCCGACGTGTCCATGGCCAACATGGTGCTCATCGGCTTCTTCTCGTGCATCAGCACGCTGTGCATCGGCGCGGCCGCCTTCTCCTACTACGAGCACTGGACCTTCTTCCAGGCCTACTACTACTGCTTCATCACGCTCACCACCATCGGCTTCGGCGACTACGTGGCGCTGCAGAAGGACCAGGCGCTGCAGACGCAGCCGCAGTACGTGGCCTTCAGCTTCGTCTACATCCTCACGGGCCTCACGGTCATCGGCGCCTTCCTCAACCTCGTGGTGCTGCGCTTCATGACCATGAACGCCGAGGACGAGAAGCGCGACGCCGAGC